TCATCTGTTGATGTGCTATGTGAGGCTTTATTTTTTGCTTATATTGGTTAGTTATATGTTCTACTGGTCTGTGGCTCGACCATTTATGGGAACTCATCTTCAGGTTCAGGTGATAAGCGACCTCCAGGACCTAGCTTGGAGGACTTGATTTTGAAGACTAGCATTTTTAGTTATTTGTTTTTTTTGTTAGTACATGTAAACACGTCAACCTAGGGCCTTTATTGTATATTTGAGTTAGAAACCTCATACTTTTGTGTGCAAGGTGTTGGCTTTGAAAGATGTAAGGCGTTAGGGCATTTGTATATTGATGTTACATGTAATGCTTTTGTTGTAGTAGAAGCGGCTCGTGATATTATATATGAATTATTAAAGTGTTTATTCCTATTAGAATATGCATGTCAATGTGATATATAATGGGTATATTTTTTCAGGGGCTTACAGATGGCTTTGGATTTTGTAGCCCTAGAACTCAGCCAACATGCACCCAACGGGTTAAGAAAATGAATCAATGGGTGGTACCCAAGCCTTGACTACTGTGTAGAATCTTTAGAAAGTATGTACGTAGGATCGATTTTCTTAGGATCATATTAAAAATCATCTGTCGTGGAATTTGTTCTGTATGGTTATTAACAATGTCACATGTGACTGAACTCTTTTCTCCAATAGTTTGGGCTGACCGATGAACGAACTCCAGGTGAGTGGGAATAAGCCAAGATGGCTGACAACGCAGCGATTAGGCTCAGTTCATATGTTCAGTGGACAGGTGTAAAGCATGACCCCAAATAGCCTCACTTTGGACTTACAGTTAAGCCGGATCGATTCGTACATAGTAAAAACAGCTGCTAAATATTTCCTGGGTGTTGGTTATAGGTAACAGAGGAAGTAAAGGTATCATAAACTCGTTTGTGTTCAAAACTATTATCCATGTAATTTTTTTGCTTTAAATTAAGCTTTTACCTTGCTAACAAAATTTCTGATTACAACCTACTGCTACATGCACTAAGTTGTTGTGTCATATATTGTGCGCCACAGCACATAATATCTGGGTACTGTCAACAGTAGTTCATAAGTTCATAATGTCATGCACCTGACACGTCATATAATAGATAATTAGGTCTGGTCTTCTCTTTTTTATTATGGTATAAATCCCTGCAAATGGCAATATAATCTTTAAACAAGTCAATTAGTTTCAATGTGAAAGTTAAGCTCTCAGTCTTCAAGTATTCTTTCAATTTAGCAAAATTTAAGCAGTGATCAGTCAGGTAGCTTTTTTAAATTGGGTATGGGCTGTGCTTGATGACATGCTGCAACAGAAAATGGTTAGATTCCTTTCTATTTCTTCCACAAGAAATGCACTTTAATCATATATTTTATTTATCTGTCCGTTAATGCATATGTTCACTTCAGTGCCTTTTGATTCACATAGCTAAATTGATGATGCATGCAATAACAGGTAACAATTTTCAATTCTAATATTGAAAAGCTGTTTTAGAAGTTGTCTACAGAAAACCAAAGAATACTTGTTGTCTTGATAGGTTCCGTGAAATGGCCTACATGTCTCTCCTCAAACGAAGGCTTGCTACATAGGTGATATGGCTTAAACAAAGTGTGATTAAGAGGAGAAGTTGATATCAATCATCCGCGCTAGAAACTTAGAATTATGAGGGGTTACACTCCCAAAAACTCACCAAAAATGGCGTCGGAGTTGCCACAAACTTAGGCACCAGCGACGTCTAGCAAAAGACGATTTGTGAGAGAAACGGGACTCGAATTCGGGTTCCCGGTTTGGCAGTTAGAGCCAAATTTCCACGCTAGGCAACTGTTTCCTTAAAAAACTTAAGAATTCAGCTGTGAGCCCCAAAATCACCAAACGGACGTTCGTAGTAGCACGAAACTGGCACCGACAACCTAACGCACGAGAGACTGGATCTGGGAACTACACTGAGGCACCATCGAATCCGGGTTCCTCGGTTCGGAGTTAGAGTCGGATTCATGCTAGGCAAACTAGTTCCCTTAAAAATTAGAATTTGGAGTGATTGACGCGTAACAATCACCAAATACGGGTCAGATTAGCACGACAAACCTGGCACCACGGACCGCCTAGGCACGAGAGAACCTTGTGAGAAAGAAGACGGGACTCGAATCGGGTTCCTCGTTTGGGAGTTGAGCCGGATTACGAACTCCAGGACGATTAGATTCTCTTAAGATAAACTTAGAATTCGAGGTGTTGATTTCCACCAAAATCACCAAACCGGTGTCGAAATAGAACGAAACTTGGCACACACGCACCGCCTAGGCACGGGAGATTGGGGAGAAGTCGGGACTCGAATTGCGTTCCTGATGTTGTGGGAGTAGAGCCGGATTTCATTCCTAGACACAACTAGTTTTGAAGTACCAAGTCGTGGAAGGAATCAAGGGGAGATAATGGCTGATGTTGTCAACTGTTTTGAGTGCAACCAAAGGATTCACTGGACACTTTGGAACGTTGAGAGGGGACTATCCACAAGTGGAATTCTTTTGGTAAAGTATTGTTAACTTTAATATAACAATTTGTAGTAACAAGAATCATATGTTTGAAGAACTAGAAAGTATGGCAAACATGCATGGTACATCCAATTTGTATAGGTGCCATGAGGATGTATAGAATTGTGAAGTTACGTCGAAAAAATATTCTTTTTCTCGTATATTTAAAGCTTCAAAAAAGCCATCGAAAGGCTAAATTATTTGTACAGAACCAACAGAAACCGCTTAGGAGGCAGACCAATATACAGTTGTAAATGAACTACGGCACTTAATGGGATGCACCATTTGTGAATTCGCCTTAAAATTAAATTTTTGCTTCTCAATTAATCTCGAAAAAACAATCAATAATGTTAGAGGGATAAACTATATACTAATTGATCTAATTGTAAAATTGATGAGTTTACTAATGTTTTTAATCTGTTTGTACTAATTATAATGTACTAAGCTGTTTAATTTATTTTTTGCAGATTGTGAATTGGGCGTGGCGTATTTTTTGACGAACTGCAACAATGATGTAGATTTGCTTGTGAATGTTCATTTTAGCTTTGATAAGGATACCATTACTTGTGGATTGCCATGAGGATTAGTTGTCTTCTTGGCGATGTTCGAGGTAGAATTTACGTATAAGTTTATAAGTTTTAGATATTTCGTGGCATATGCTGCACCTATTTCTTACTTGGTATTAGGATGAAGCATATTTCGTAAATGATGAATGGGATGACTTTCTACATTTTTTGGTTGTTAATTTCGTTAAATTTGTCGTTTGGACTCAAAAAAACGAGTTCTTAGGTTAAGTTGGTGACTCGAGTCACCCCACTTTCTCATCTCGAGCCCATCTAGCCACAAATCCATTAATTAATCAATTTCGCAGAGGATAACATGCGGGAAATAAACTCATACATTCAATCCGTTAGAATGAATTAGACATACTCTCATTTCGTATGCCAAAGTAATGTTACATAAAATACTCAATAAATCTGCCCTGGGCTACAACCCTTCAAAGTAAACAACATGAAGGGCTGTACCCTGTTTACACGCATATGGTGTTCCGCTAACAAACAAACGACAGGCCCGCGGGCCAACCAAATAAGACAGTATCCAAATCCTGTAGTGCACACTGTAAACACTGAAAAGATATTCAACAACGTGGGATGACATAAAGTCAGTAGGGGATCTGCAACAGGATCCTTAAACAATAACAACTTTACAGATAGCTATGATCATGCACACTCATTCTCGTACTAGAAATAGTAATATGACAGTTGTATCAAATATATATATCTATAAACTTTTTCCTGAAACAACCGTTTCATTCCAACGCTATAAGCGATTCCATTTTCTTCCTATTCCTTTCATTACATCCCCCAATTCCATGGTTCTTTCATAACATTTAAACGAATCTTACTTAGGAAAATGAATCTCGAACAGCCCGTACTCTCTTCCATTTCTAAACATACACACGATGTACGGCTTTTCAATCATGTTTATCGTTAACATTTCATTTCCCTTCCCTTCCCAAAGACAAAAAAACAACATTTTTGGTTCATTTTTCCAACTACTTCATACCTATACTGCTAAACTTGTAAAATATAAAATTTACAACCACCACAATGTAACCAATCACGATCAATGTGCTAGACTCGGTCTCCGAACTGGAACCGAATCAAATCTATCGATATGTTTAGTAAACTAACAAGCAATTGCCACCCTGCAACAGCTGCGCTTATAAGAACAAGATAACTGAATGAACTCAAACAACTTCCGCTCAGCTGAAGTATGTGCGGTAGTAAGCCAAAATACCAGTACCAGGTGCTCAGCTGGAAGGGTGGTGCCTTCTTTAGCATACAGTTCTCCAGGCGCTAGCCTCGGCAGGTGTAACGGTACCTTTGATTATAAGGCGGCATATTAACGCAGACAACAACAATCAAACAAGGCATATCCAACATTATAATTGCATCATAATAACCAACAAAATCTACACCAAGTTGAGAAGTGATAAGCTAGGTGTAATGATATCACACAATCAACGGACTCCGATGTCATCCCTCCACCGATGATCCAGGACAGCACCTCTAGATGCACTGTGATTTTGGTCTATTTTAACAAACTCAAATTACGATGTAGATCATCAACTTATCACTATACTCGATTAGTATAAAGATACGAACTAACAATTCAAGCTCATAGACGTATCTTTCCCTTTTCACAAAACCACGTCTCGTTTTATTTTTCAAAACGGTATTTTTATTCCTTTTTTTTTTTCACAAAATCAAAATCCAGAAGGACACATAAGAAACGCAACTAGCTCCAATTAATCTATCTAATTCATCTCAAAGCCATTCGCAATTTAATTATACAAAGATTAAATCCATAATCTCTAAAATGGATTTTCCTGCCCCTTCTCCGCAATAGTGGAATAAGGAAAGTTGAAATCATCTCAACGAACAAGCAT